GGATTAATTATGATTATTGTAATGAGGACAATCACAATGATAACTATTGAGTAATGGCTATTTATTTTATCGAATTGTCTGACAACTTTTTATTACTAATTACGCTTGAATTTTAACATAAAGATTTTTGAGTTTTTCATGGTGAAGTAGGAAAAATTGAAAATCATAAATTACATGGTAGAAAACAGAAAGAAATGAAAAGGAAACATTTTCTCGAGAGTCACCAACATAACAATATAGTGTTAAATGGTTATCTTTGCTATTATCCTTTTTCCTACTTTGGGCGGTTTTTCTTTTTTTTTCTTTTTTTTTTACCTTTGGACGTTTACTGCACTCTCAGTAGGAAAATTAGAGTTCGAACCTGGCGCGCATCTAACCAGAGCACAACGAGTCCTCGGTCCTGCAATGGGGCTTGCCCTGCAGGATACGCGCGTCGACAGGTATGAAAATTACTATTTAGTATCAAATAACAAATAAAACTGTAACTAAAATGCTTACGTGTATTTATGATATTTTTGGCATGGGGAGATCGAAGCAAAAATAATAATAATAAGCGAAAAAAAATTCACACGAGAATTCAGCTCACTTTTTGATACTTTAGTTCTCTTTGAACGAGTTTTTGAGAAGAAAAACTATCGAAACCATCTTTTTATGTATTTGCATTTATAATCTCATACTATGGACACCAAAATGTTTAAAAATAATCGAAAAGTATAATCCAATTAACAGTAGTATAATTAACTTCTTTTCTGGGTCTTATCAAATTATTCGATTTGTTTTATATTGCAGCTGGATGAGTATGAAGTAATAGTATATATTATATAATATTAAATACTATACAACAATACAAAGTTTTTGTGAAATAATTTTATAGGTAAGTATGTTGTATTTACCATTTATGCTACGCGCCTTCGTTACAATAAAAAAAATCTCCATCCTAGTGTATTATATACATATATACAAAAAAGTAGCGAAAAGATTTAAAGAGATGTATAAAATACATGTATGCCTGCAGGTTTGGCATATTAACATTCGTTGGAAAGCGTGGAGAGTAGGTACACACTGTGTCGGCGATATATGCGTTGCGTTGGAAAAAAAATATTACTCGTTGCGAACGAAAAGAAATTTAATAGGCGTGCACCCTCTCTTTCACCTCTATAGGCTGTGAAGACGCGAGTTAAGCGGCGATAAACTTGCTCGAAACCTCAATCATATGTGTCAAATCAAGTACATGAATTCTCTATCTTTTAAACGAATAAACATACAATATACACGATACAATTTCACAAATGAGAAATCAGTCGAGTACCTAATCATGATTTTCATCTCAAGTATTACCTAATTCTACCTACAAAAATCTTATAAATCTTGTTATCATTATTATAACCCTTTTTAAACAATTCATCTTTTCCTGACAGACATTAAGCACGTCATTATACGCTATGTGCAAGAATTTTCAAGTACATGAATAATATTGTGTAGTAGAAAAATCAAAGTGTTTGTTACAAAGACAAAGTTATATAAAAATACATTTTGTGTCCTAACAAATTTATTTGAATTGCGAAAAAATAGATTGAATATCCATTCCTTACTCTTTTTTTTTATCGTTATTGTACATTACTACTATTTTTATTGTTGTATTATCAAACAGTCGACATACGAATGTATTTGTCTCGTATTTTTTAATTTTATTGTACCATTTTAGTGTATACCGTTGGATACCGGTTCAACTGATCAATAATAATAAAGAGAAAAGTGCGTATTATTTGAATCAATTTATTTTTCGTAAAACTTCAAAGTGAGTCTAATCAATAAATACATAATATAATATAATAGTAATAGTTAAAATTCTAAAACAAGACTCTTAAAGTGACGCTCTAGTTTCATTTCGAGAAATTTAGAGACTATAAAAGAAAAAGTGTTAAAAAATTTTTTGAAGGCCTACGCATGTTGTTATTTGTTGTTGTTTTACCTATTTTACAAGAGAATTTTAATTAAAAGCACATAAACGGGTTTTCATGAAAGATCTCACTCGTTCGGCGATTACGAAGTGCCCAATACTCGTTGTTGAAGTGCTGATGTTATAGCGATAAAATTATCGTCATCTCCCGGCACACATAATAGACTTCTCAGCCTTACGAACATCGTGGAATGATGACGCAGTATATTAATTATTAGATTATAACAATTGAGAAACAACATAATAATATTAATAGTACTTATAAATAGCGATCAAGTACAATTAAATCATTGAATAAGTGTCGTGTGCATGTTTTCATTTTTAAAAAAATTCAACGTATTAAAAAAAAAAGGGATGCGGAGAAAAATCATAAAAAATATATTATCGAACGATATAAATGAATCATCGCGTCGTTCTCTAGTACTACATTGATAGTGCATCGTATTATTATTATTATCATTTTATACGTAATACGTATACATACCATTATGATTATATATATATAGTCTCTCTTTTGCTGAGATGCATGTTAATATACATATACATGATATACTTAAATAGTAAAATTGCGAAAAAGATAAAAGTAACGCGCGAGTCTTTTTAACAAGGGGATGTTTACCTTCAAGTATGATACAACACAGTAATTTGTCGAGAGAAAAATATGATACAGTTTAGTAGGTATTAAAGTTTCAATGTACTTATAGTTATATAAAAATATACGTATGTATAACTAACATCCAACTACTTAATTGGTGTCTGTGAAACAAAGTTTATCTCACATTACAAAGTAACAAAGTAAAATAATAAAACACATACTATGACTACGTACGTGATAACAATATTGTATGAGGTACCGCACCGAGAGTTACGGGCCTATTTTTTTATTACGTTTTCCCTTTGTAGGACAAATATATGTTTCGGCCGTATAATACTTCACGGTGCTATTGAAACGTGTGTTTTATATAAGTAATTTTGATTAAATATAATTAGTAAATTAGAGTCAATGT